CAACAGAAGTTGATACTGAGAGAAAGAAGGGTTTGAAGCTAAAGACACTCCAGTAGAATCAACTATGATTCTGTCTGAACAAGTATTCACATTGTGTTTTCTATTTGTTTGAGATAATAGAGTTTGTTCATTCATTCAGATTTGTGCAGTTTCAGTCAAGTTATCAAATATAGAATATTATCTTTCATTCTTGATCGAATCTGCTGCTTATTAGCAGGATTACCTCTCCGATACTAGCATGAAATCAGTTTTACCTAAAAATACTGCATCACTCATATGAAAGTATTAAGTATTAACAGAAAGATTTGTTACACAGTTGAAAAAAAAAAGAAGAGAATCTGCAGAAATGAGAAACAGAAAAACAAGTTACATATAGAATGTACATGTAAAAAAATAAAGGATAAGGTATTTCTCTCACCTTTTCTGAAGTGTGGGATTTTGTAGTACGATAGCGCCCTCTAATTACAGCACAACATAACAAAGTCATAACCATGAAAAAGAGAAAATAGCTAGTGTGCATCAAATGAAGGTTCACCATCGATCGGTCCAACTAAGAAAGAACCAAAGACCATTGTTCATGTTTAACTTTCTGAAGTTTACTAAGAAAGACATAAACTGTTTATGTAGTTTTTTTCTACACAAAAAAGATTGTTTGGCTTAGCATTTAGTATGTTCTAACAAGATTTTCTTGAGCTACTGGATATTTCATCACACAGTCTAACATAGAAGATAACCAAACAAATATGTTAACCAGTATCACTTAACTCCATTGACGTACATTCAATGTTACTGAATATTACTTTTAACTGCAATTTTAACATCAATTATGAACAGTTGGATTACTTTAAACTTTTTCCAGTACATAGAGAACAACCAAGCCCTATGGAAAGGCCATAGTAACAGCATTTGTAATGACAGTCAATTAGAGTTATCTACAATAAAGGTCATTCTCGACTATGTTATTGGATGGTGAATTAAGACTTAATCTACGAAAATTAGAATGCTAAATACAAAGTTAACAGCAAGGGTACTTAAATCAATATTTAATGCAATTCATTTACAGAATTAACATTGATAATCAGCTTAATTTCAACCTTAGTCACTTGTCTTTTAAACTAAACCTTTGTGTTTATATCTTGGACTTCTATCAATGTATCTCGCAACAGCTAGGCCTATTCATAACTTATGAAATATATATTTCCTTTTACTCCATCATTAGATTGTTAGTCTGTTTGTACACGTAAATTACTCCACAAACTTATTTTATATCTCAGACTTCTATCAATGTATCTCGCAACAGCTAGGCCTATTCATAACTTATGAAATATATTTCCTTTCACTCCATCATTAGGTTGTTTAGTCTGTTTGTACACGTAAATTACTCCACAAACTTATTTTATATCTCAGACTTCTATCAATGTATCTCGCAACAGCTAGGC